GGGACCCAGTGGACCAGATAAACATGCCAGCTCTCGGTCAGGGTTAGAGACGGCAAACCAGCCCACACAAGCAAGTACAGCCAGCCCCGGCCTTGCACAGAGAAGCTCTCATCAGCTGATGGGGCCAATGGCATCAGCGATCCCCACGCCACCCCTGCCCAGATCTGTGGTTCCATTCACAGCACGTGAGAACCAGAAAGGCCCCAGAGATCACAGTCCCACGTGTCATTCAGAGTGGGAACCGTGGCTCTGAGAGCTGCCACCAGACTCCGGCTGCTCCGAGTCCCACCCCGGCTCGGTGACTCTGCTGGACGAACCACACCGGCCAAAACCAGCAATGGGTGAAGGGTAGACCCTAACTGTCCTGACACCCTCCTGACTTTCAGGGAACATCGAGTGGCAGAATCCACAGAAACTGCGGCTGACCCACAGCAGATGGGCCCCTCGAGGATGCGAAGCATCATTAATCCAAACTGAGTGCAAAACCCCCAGGGGGCGGGGCTAGGGCTCAGGGGGAGGGCGCGTGCTTAGCATGCACGAGGCCCTGGGTTCAGTTCCCAGTATCTCCAAGAGAAAAAAAGAAAAGAAGAAAAATCCCAATTTATAAAGATTTAATACAAAAAAGAGCACAGCTGTCTCCTAAATAATGTCCATGTTGATTACGTGGTGAAGTGACAGCATTTTGTACATACTGGGTTAAAACATATTATTAAAGCTAATTCCACCTGCTTTTTTTTTGTTTAGGACAACTAGAAAATTTTAACTTACATAGTTGGCCCATATTCTATTGCTTTTATACAGTAGACACACGTCCCCCAGGAGTGGGCCATGCAATTGTGCCAGAAAAGCAACAGACTCTCATCACCACCCTGGGCAGGTCCACCTGGAACTCCCCGCCGGAGCCAGGGAAAGCCACTGCTCAACCCCCAGCCCCGCTAACCGGATCCCTCAGTCAGTTATATGAGCTGGGGGGACACCCCCGGGGCTCAGGGCCATTCTCACATGACTGAGAGGGAAGTCCTTGGATACCACAGGCCAAGGACACTTCTTATAGACAGTTAAGAGGAACAAAATCAGACGTGGAGCCCAGCAGCCGCCAGGGTGGGGGACAGCTGTGACACCCTGTTGGGTGCCAGTCTCCATCACCGTGATCACATGACTTCGGATCACACCCTACCTGACCTTCAGGCCACGACAAGCCATTCAGGGGGCTGAACTGGGCGTGGACATTCTGAAGTAATACAGTGAGGGAGCCTGAGGGAGAAATTCCTTCCCATGCAGGGAATCCCAGATGGCTTCCTGGAGGAGGAGGATCCTGGACTGAGGGCGGGGAACGGGGACAAAATGAAAATGTGGGATGGGTGGGGGCCCAGGAGGGAGAAGATTTATGAAACAGTGTCTGCAGGAGGCCTGACAAAGGCTAAAGGCTAAAGCTCCAGACAGGGGACCTGCCTGCCGCAAGCCCACCATGTGGCCTGGGGACCACGCAGGTGTGCCCAGTAACACACTGAGGACCAGGGGCTGCCCTCCAGGACGGACAAACCCACTGACAAGACACCAGGTGGCATACCCAGCTCTCAGCAGCACAACTCACTGTGCTCCCCCTGCAGAGGACAGCCCTCCACCTGTCCAGACACGGGGGGAGAGGGGTGGGGAGGACCCATCCCTGAGAAGCTGCCCCCGCACTGCACCACAGACCCCTGCGGGCTTCCAGCCCCACCCAGCAGGCCAGAATTAACCCCAGGGGACCCTAACCTTTTCTCAGAGGTATCTGTCTTTGTTTTTAAGCATATTTTAGTATTTCAGTTCAGCAACATTCAAGGGTAATAAACTCTCCTCCCCAGGTCTCCCTGCTTCAATTAGGAAGCTCTTCTGTCTTCAAACCAATTAAAGAAAGATGCTCTCAGGGGAACCTTCTGAAACATAGCTTCTGTGACCTGGGCCCAGAACCGCCTCACCTGCTGTTGTGCACCTGCTGTGCTCCAAGTAAGGAAACCCATATGCAATGGAATACTACTCAGCCATAAAAAAGAATAAAAGGCCACTTGCAGCAACATGGATGGACTTGGAGATTATCATACTAAATGAAGTAAGCCAGAAAGAGACAAGTAGCACATGATATCACTTATGTGGAATCTAAAATATGACACAAGTGAACTTATTTACAAAACAGACAGAATCACAGACATAGAAAACAAACTCATGGTTACCAAAGGGGAAAGCGGGGGCGGGGTAAATTAGGAGGTTGGGATTAGCAGATACACACTTCTGTATATAAAATAGATAAGTAAGTTCCTACTGTACGGCACAGGGAACTATATTTAATACCTTGTAATAGCCTATAATGAAAAACATGAAAAAGAATATATAAATGTATAAATAACTATCTCTATGTACACCAGAAATTAACACAACATTGTAAACTGACTGTACTTTTAAAAAAGAAAACATAAGGGGACCAGATCTACACAAAGAAGAAAAGAGGAAGCCCACCTGAGGTGGCCCTGCAGAAGAACATGCTCTCCGCTGAGCCCCTGGGGAGTTTCTGAAGTTTCTGCAGCGTTCCTTCCCTCCCTGGGCATCAGAAATGTGCTTTCCCTGTCATACTGTGAATCCCACTAATAGGAGGATTTGGTCTACAGTTATCCCACCCACAGAAGCCAGTCGGCATCTCTCCATCACTTATCCCCTCCATCATTTATTTATTCATTCATTCATCCAAGCTGAGCATCTGCTCTGTACCCACTGTCTATCCTCCCCATCTTTCCTGGTGCCTCAGGATGAGGCAGTGTCTCAGCTGAGAGCCTACTTCCCAGCTGTCACTGTAGCCTGTGCCCCTGTTGCTAACCTTTAGCCAATGAGATGTAAACAGACACTGAGACTTCTGGGAGAGCTCCTTTGTCTCTCCATTGATATTGTGATAGCAATACGATGGCTGG